AACCATAACTTACACATATTGATTTCAGCTATGTGCTCAAGATTTTTAAAACCCAAACCACAAGTAAAGCTATGTTTGCAATTTGTTGAAAGTGTGTTCCAAAAGTTTTTGTGTACACTTTTTAAGATTGAGTACTTGCAAAGCATATAGTGGTATGTTATGAAACACACTTTTCAGGAGGGTCAAACGACCACCATTAGACAAAAAAACGTTTCTCCAATCAACAATTTTGACTTTAATTTTATCCACCACTGCACCTAACAAAATTTGTTTCCTTCGATTTTTAAGTAAGTTAACACCCAAGTATTTAATCGACATCGAAGCTAAATTGTAACCAGTATATGAAGTGACCCAACTAGTGAAGTGAGTAGTAACATACTTTCCCAAGTATAGGTGACATTTGTCTTTATCGAACATAAGACCTGAAGTGCTTTGAAAAACTCTTGAAGTGGCAGGCTTAGTAGCCTTTGTGAACAAAATTGCATCATCAGCATAAGTCAAGTGGTTGACAAGCAAGCACTGTAGATTTTTGATTGAAATGCACATAGGGATGATTATCATGCAAACTATTAATTAAACAAAAAAATAATCAAAAGCCAAAATAAATATTCTCGGAGAGAGGGGGTCCCCTTTCCTAATACTTCTTTGAGTAGAAAAGAAACCATAAGAACTGCCATTAATCAAAACATTATAATAATGGTTCACCACCCATCTATGAATGATGTTGCAAAAATTTGAATGGAACCCTCTAATCTTTAATATGTTAAGAATGAAATCCCAACTTAGGGTATCAAATGCTTACTTTAAATGAAGTTTGATAGCAATGTTCCCCCTCTACACTTCCTGTCCAAATCCTCAACCAATTCTTGAGCCAAAAAAATATTATCAGTAATCTCCCTTTCTTTAATAAAAACAGATTGTTGAGGGGGAAGTGAGAGTAGCAAGGTGTGGTTGAAGTCTAGAAAAAACTAGTTTGCTAATAACTTTAGTAATAACTGATGTGAGAGAGATTGGCCTACAACTATCCCAGCTAGGTCTACAACTATCAACTTTTGTATATGTATGTATACATATAAAAATAAATAGATATACAGATAAATAGATAGATAAATATAGCATTCCTTATATACGTATCTCACACTGCAAAGTTTTAGTTTAGGAATAAAGCACTTACATTTTTGTCCGCTAGAGACTCAATTCTTGTTATTTTTAAGAATGGAAAAAAATTATTAAGTATTAAAATTATTTCAAATATTGAGCAGAAAAAATATATCAAATGAGGGAACATAGAGATAAAAACACTAATCTGTCAAAATTATATACGAAGAAATTAATAAATTTTAATACTTAGGCCCTGTTTGGCGCAGCTTATACATGTGCGGTGGCGTTTTCAGAACGCCGCTCTCGCGTTTGTTTCGTGCGTTCGTTCGGCGGCGTTTTGAACGCAGCGTCCCGCGGATCCATTTTTCTTCATTAACCGGATCGCGGGGCCTCGGCTGCGGTCGACGTTGGTTGTTGACGTTAGGGTTCGAATTCCTTCTTTTGCCCTTGGTGATCTCTTTCGCGCTCTCCCCTCGCCTCCTCCCTCTCCGATCGAAAGCATCACTCTCTGTTGGCGTTAGAGCTCGATTTCATTCTTTTTCCCTTCGACATATACTCTCCGGTAAGATCTACGATTGTTTGTTGTTGGTTTGTTTCGAGATACGCTCTGGTTCTGTGAGTTTTTTCGAGATACGCTCTGGATTCGTGAGTTTTTTGGATCAGTGAATTTTTTTCAATTCTTCAGCATATCTCTGCTCCTATTGCTTTGGATCTGTGAGTTTTTTCGGTTCTTCTGCTGGATATCTTCATAGGGTTTTTGGATCTATGTATTTTTCCCGTCGAGAAAAATTGTGATTTGTTTTGTTCGAAAATGGGCACTAAAAACATTTTTTGACTTCAAAAATCTTCTTACGGATTTGGGAACAAATGTGCAAATCGTTTTCAATTGTGTTGGTGTTTTTTCTCTTAAGTTGATGTAGAACAAAGGAGGGTGTTTCATCCTTTAATATCTTTATATCAATAGAACATTTATGGTGATTAGTTATGACTCCACTTTGAAGATGAGAGATCAAATAGTTATTGTAACACAATTTTGTCACCTAGAATGACATGCAATTATTCAACACAAAGAGGACATTGATTACGGTATGATTATGATATGTGCTCATTATTTAATTCGATCATGAATTAAAGAAATTCAACCGTTTTCTCTCTTTTCTATATGTTAGTACCTTTACTCTCTTAAAATGATATCCCATGCAAGGTTTCAGCCAAAGCATCATTCTTCTCATGAAGAAATGGAAATTTGAAATTCAAATGACGATTTTATTGCATCTCTATTGAATGATACAATTTGGATTTGGAAAAGGAGGATTTGTATTGAATGATACAATTTGGAACATTCTCGCATCTCTATGTCCCGATTTGTTGGTTCAAATCGTTTTATGTATTTGAGCTTTCTCGTTTGTAATGCATTACTGCGACGTTGTTTGTGATGCATTACTATTCCATGACCTTTCAATTAATGTTTACGTTGCAATTGCTTACGGTGAGCTGCAATTGTAGTTTATGGTTGCTGAATGGATTTGCAAAAGAACATGAATGACTCACATCTTTATGGTGGGCTGAATTTGTTGTCTACGGTGGGTAGAAAAATGAATTTCTAGTTCGCTTATTGCATAAAAAAAAATGGATATGGAGTTCATGTTGGGTAGCCAAATTGATTTGCAAAGAAGCATGATTGGCTCACATCCTTATGGTGGGCTGCATTTGTATTTTATTTAACTATGGCTCAACATTTGATAAATGACTCGCTTTATCCCTTGGCAAATCAATTTGTGCTTTTTTATGTATTAGAACTTTCATATTACATATGTATTTTATATTTGTAGTCCTCTCCAGTGAGAAATATAGCTTTGTACGATTAAAAAGTTGATAATAAAACATGTTCGATGTCTTACTGTGGATGTAGGTCTTTGACCGAACCACATAAAAAACATGTGTGCTTTTTTATTCTTAGCATTTTTTTAGCATTTATTTGCACAATTGTTGGGTAATTGAGATAATTTGATTATTATGTGATACTTGCAATTATTCATATAGTTCCACAATGGGTAAGACATCTGAAGAGGGTCCCTCTGCAATGTCGGATAAAGAAGTCACCAATATATTTTGTGATCTATGTATAAAAGAAATTGAGCTGGGTTAATAAGGAGGGCTGGAATAATATTGGTATGAGGTTCAAAGAACTAACTGACAGAGCTTAAATTCAAAAATAATGGGACCAATTAAAGAAGAAATGGAAAATATGGAAGGAGTTGTTTACGGTGGGTAGAAAAATGAATTTCTAGTTCGCTTATTGCATAAAAAAAAATGGATATGGAGTTCATGTTGGGTAGCCAAATTGATTTGCAAAGAAGCATGATTGGCTCACATCCTTATGGTGGGCTGCATTTGTATTTTATTTAACTATGGCTCAACATTTGATAAATGACTCGCTTTATACCTTTGCAAATCAATTTGTGCTTTTTTATGTATTAGAACTTTCATATTACATATGTATTTTATATTTGTAGTCCTCTCCAGTGAGAAATATAGCTTTGTACGATTAAAAAGTTGATAATAAAACATGTTCGATGTCTTACTGTGGATGTAGGTCTTTGACCGAACCACATAAAAAACATGTGTGCTTTTTTATTCTTAGCATTTTTTTAGCATTTATTTGCACAATTGTTGGGTAATTGAGATAATTTGATTATTATGTGATACTTGCAATTATTCATATAGTTCCACAATGGGTAAGACATCTGAAGAGGGTCCCTCTGCAATGTCGGATAAAGAAGTCACCAATATATTTTGTGATCTATGTATAAAAGAAATTGAGCTGGGTTAATAAGGAGGGCTGGAATAATATTGGTATGAGGTTCAAAGAACTAACTGACAGAGCTTAAATTCAAAAATAATGGGACCAATTAAAGAAGAAATGGAAAATATGGAAGGAGTTGAAACGTGGATCTACAGGTTTGGGTTGAGATATGATTAAACAGACAATTGATGCTTACGTTGAATGGTGGAATGAAAAATTGGAGGTAATTTTATATCTATTCTGTGATTTGTTTGCTTTGCAAATTAGTTTTTGTAATTTTACTTGCTTAATTATTCGCTTTAAAATGTTCGCGATACCTATAGCGAAAAAGTATAGACAGTGCAGGATTGAGCCGGAATTTGAAGAAAAAACTGGACATAATGTTTAAATGTATTGTCACAACAGTAAAATTTACTTTCAACCCAAGTGAAAGTACCTTTTCAGGGATGCCAGATGAATTTACTCCTGACCATTAACACCTGATGAAGATGTGTGTAGCATTAATCAGAGAGATACGTGGGACTCTAGCACAATAAAGAGGCCCAAGGTTGCTAAAAAAATAAAGAGAAAGAACATGTTTTGAACACCTCCTTCGATCGTTTGATTGAAGCATTTGCAGCTCCACCTATCTCTGATGCAAGCATATTAGACTGTCTAAGGCTTTTGCGTACTATTCTTGAAATTGTTGCAGATAGGCGATTTCACACTTAAGGATTCAACTAGAATGAAATTATTCATGGCGCTTGAGCCTGAAATGCGTCTTGAATATTTGTTGGTTTTGTTCGATGAATGATATTTTTTATGGATTCATTATGTATCAGCACTAATTTAACTTCTACTTATGTTGTTTTATTTTTTATATATGTTTGTCATTCTATATGTCATTCTACATGTGTAATTTTTCTATATGTAACAAATGAGAACTTTTATTATTAGCACAATTGTTAACATTAATTGTTAACATTTTAAAAATTGTTAACATTTTAAATTGTTGGATAGTTGAATATTAATGTTTATATTTTAAATCATTTAGGATGGATCCGCAACGTGATGACATTTGCTAAATGACATTTGCTACAGCCGTTGCGATATTGTTGTTGAATTATTACCAGCGTAGCACTACTCGCATTCCTCGCATGACATCCACCTTTCTTGGAGATAGATGGGTTAGTGAAATGCTTTCGGGACATCCAATAAGGTTCAAAAATATATTCAGAATGACGACACCTATTTTTATAGATCTTCTGCACGAGTTATGTCTAAATCACGGCCTCTAGGGTTCTTCTAGAACTCTATCTCCGGAGGTGTTGGCTATAACAATGTACATTCTAGCACAGAATGAGTCAATTCGAGGAGCTATGGAAAGATTTCAGCATTCATCTGAAACAATTAGTCGTTACTTTTCAAAAGGTATACATGCACTTGTTAGCTTAACAGCTCAAATAATTAAACTAGAGGATCCATCATTTGCTACCACTCTAGAACAAATTGCCAACAGTACTCGATACATGTCATATTTCAAGGTAACTATCAGTATTTTTATTTTGTTACTTGTTATACTTTAAAAATATTATTACTCTTTAATGGACAACTAAACAGAACTGTATTGGTGCAATTGACGGTACACACGTTGATGCCCGAATACCCAACCACGAGAAGGTAGCATACATCGGTTTAGTGGTTCAACAACGCAAAATGTCATGGTTGTATGCGACTTCAACATGTGTTTTACTTTTGTGGTTGCGGGCTGGGAAGAGAGTGCACATGACAGCCGAATTTTCTCTTTTGCTACGAGGAATAGATCGCAGTGTTTCCCTCACCCCCCATCAGGTTAGTTTTGTTTAGTAATTTGAATATGTGAGATTGTGCAATTTTTTATTAACATTGTTTCTCGTAGCAGAAAAATATTATCTGGTTGATGCAGGATATCCTATGCAAAGGGGATACCTGAAGCCCTACTCTGACACGAGATGTCATCTTTCTGATTTCGACCGAGCTAGTGGCACAGTTCGTGGCAGAAAAGAAATGTTTAATAAACGTCAGTCATCTTTACGCGGGATAATTGAAAGAACATTTGGAGTTTGGAAGAAGAAATGAGACGTGATATGCCGTCGTATCCTTTCCAAAAGCAGGTGTACATTGTGGTTGCAACAATGACACTACATAACTTTATCCGAAGACATTCCTTGCAATCAGATACAGACTTCAGTATGACTGACAATGATGAACTCAATGTTTTCGAGCAACCAACATGACTTGTGGGGGGGCATTCATTACCTGAGGAGGATATAGAATCTAATGATTTTGGAGATCAAGACGCTGAAAGTTTGGCTGATATGGTTGCTTTAAGGGAGTCTATCACATATGCTATTTGTGGCTGTTGATCTATCAAGTTTTCTTTTAATAAGATTATAGGTTTATATTCATACGCATTTAATTTTGATTTTTTTTTAAAATACCTTAAGCTGACATTTCATTCTTTTGTTATTTTCACAGTTATACCAACATGACCTTGAGAATATTAGGTACAGACAGAGGGATTTTGTGTTATTGTGGACTACCGTCTCCATTGCTAACGTCACGTAAGGAGCATAGCTTTGGGAGACAGTTCTATGGTTGTGTCAGGAGTGTTTCAGCTCGTTGTGTTTCTTCCGGTGGGCTGATAGTCCCTCGTATTACACTGACAGTAGTCATGCCAGCAGTCATGTGAATCTGATGTTTTCTTCGGCTGACAGTGCAAATGAGGACCGGCGTAGCCAGAGTCTTAAGTTGAATATTTTAATATTTTTCTTTGTTGTCGTACTTGTATTTGTACATTTTTAAGTTCTCCTGGTACTCAGTTCTCCTGGTACTCATTAGGGTGTGAGAACTGTATGGTATCTTTTAGAACTGATCTGTGATTATCGTATGTTTCTGCACTATGTTTCTTTTGTATCAATAAGCTATTCTGAATAAGCTGCCCAAAACAATTTTATCAGACTGGCAGAAATGTCATTTAACCACCAATAAGCTAGTCTAAATAAGCTGCCCCAAACAGCAAGCCAGATTATTCTGATAATATGCAAATTATCAGATTATCAGAATAATTTGCTTATCAGCATATTATAAATAATCCACAGCTGCGCCAAATAGGGTCTTATATATATAAATCTTAATTTTTAAGATGGGCAATTGTACATCTCATGGTCTGGGGTAGTTGCAACTTATGCAGCTTATCCAGATAAACACCTTATTATTCTGATAAGCTGTTGATCTGCAGTTGATCTGGATAAACTGACTAGTTGTTTGGTTTGTGTGTTTGGAAAATAACTGATTTGCAACTGTTTTTGGATAAATATTTATTGTTCCCCTCATCTGGATAAACTACCAATCTTTTTGCCTAGCACTAATAGCCATTGAAAGCAACCAATTTTATTATATGTTTATAAATTTATTTGAAGTCCTCAAAATATTCTTCCACATCATAATACCCATTATGCATTACCTATAATTACCTATAATCAATCTTTTATTTCACATGTTATTTCCTTGCTACTACCCTGTCAACTAGTAAAATCCATCCAGCTCCATCAAACCAAGCTGTCGCTTAAATTTATAAAAATCTAAATACAGTTTCTGATAAATTGACGAAACGCATGAACAAAAAGGTACGGTGGCGTTTGCCCGCACTTGTAAGCTGCCCCAAACGGACCCGTAGTTATCAAATGGAACGGAAGTGTTTTCAAAACGCGCCGCCGCAGGCAATAATCTGCCCTCAAACGGGCTCTCAATATAACATGGTTCCATCTTTGATAGTCATAGTAAAAAACCATTATGAATTTTTAATTTAATTTTCTTATTTAATAATTTTAAATTATAATTATAATTATCATTCAAATTTAGTTATAATATAAAACAGTTCAAATATTCTTTGTAGTTAAGGTGCATTTAATAGAACTAGAGTTGCATTCATACCGAACAATTCTTATGTGTTTATATATTTGGCACTAAAACTTTAATTTTTTACATTTATACCAATTATCTATATTCAAAATTATGTATTTTTATTTTTTGAAGGTTTAGAAATAATAATACATATAAAGCATATAAAGCATCCAATTCTTTTGTATATACTTATCTCATACCCAAATTTTGATTTTTACATCCTAAACACCCTAACCTATATATAAAAGGTAGATTACACTATTTCCACATTTTCATACATAGGAAAAGGTACTTAAGGGTAAAAATTAAAGTTTTTTTGTAGTCACCGATGGTCGTTGGTGGTTGATGTTGGCCGATGGCGATAAACGATGACAAGGATGATGTGTGACTTGGCTTCTTCTGAAAGCCTCAAGTTCTCTCTCTAACCCCCTCTCATATGAGGGGTGGGGCTTTATTTATAGTGTTTTGAGTGCAATTAATACAGGAATATGAACTATTTTGATTGGACGGTCCAGAGAGCTTCCCTCGATCGGATGATGTTTGTTGGACATTTGAGTGCCTTAAGAATTGAGCAAACTTGGGCTCGTTGGATTCGTTTTGTCGAGACGCTCGATTCGATTATGAACTCGCTAGATTTGACATCTGTTTGACCTTCCAAATGCCTCCGGAAATTCTCTAAAGTGGTTTAAAAATAAAATAAATATTTTCGTGCATAAATCTGTGACAACATAATGGTATGCATGTAAATATCAAACTTGCCTCCGGTGTTAGATATGTAAATGCATAAGAATATTGTTGTATCTCGTATGCATCTAAATTTTCTGGTGAGAGATGCAACAATTTACAAAATTCACCCTATTAAAATAATCGATTATACAATTGGAGTTCAAACATTTCACAAACATCAGGGTTAGTAGTTTCTCTTTCATGTGTGTGTGTTGTTGAATTCTCGTACAACAACACTGAGACGATAATCCGTTACTCTACTGTCGCGGATTTTTCAGAACGCATCATATAAGAACCCAACCAACAAGCCCTTAATAAAATAAAATAAATTAATTAATTAATTGCAATAAACATCTCAATATTACATGCATAACCACTTAATTCCTCTCTATCCACTTGATTCCTCTCTATTTATATATTTTACACCTAAACTTCAATATTTACATACACAACCACCTAACCTATGCATGCAAAAGGTGCATTTCTTTTTCTAAAGTTAAAAACATGGTATTTCTTATTTAACAAGAAGTATATGAATGATATGGATATAAAAGGTATAATTTAGGGGTTAGATATGTAATCACGTAAGAATTTGACGATATGTATGTAAATGCCCCATAATCATAATACAAGGATATATTTTCATTTCTGAAAAAAATAGCATTTGAAAATAAAAAAAAAAATTAAGCATAATATTATATGGCGGAATAGTAGCGTTTGAAGGCAAAATGAAGAATCTCAAAATGTCATGTTCGAGCACTCATTTTGCCCGAATAGAACGTAGGAAGTGTCGGGTTTGAACACTCGCATTGCCCTAGAAAATTATTGAATAGTATAATGTTTGAAAGCAGAACGAAGAATCCCAAGTGAGGCTCGAGCGCTCACTTTGCCTTAAAGAGTAGAGGAGTAGTACGGTACTTAGAAACAAAATGGAGAATCTCAAAGGGTAAGTTTCGAGCACCCACTTTGCCCTTAAAAATGTATCAATAGCACAGTGTTTGAAAACCAAATGAAAAATCCCAAATGATTTCGTTTGAGCACTCACTCTGTACTAAAAAGCGAAAATGATATTCCACAAGAAAAAAGAATGGCAGTTATACGCTGAAAATCGTGTATCATCGCCATTATTTATATATATATATATATATATATTGAACGAACGAATATATGCATCGGGTTGGAGTGCTCACATTGTCCTAAGAAAAAAGAGGGAACGGTAAAGTGTTTGAAAATAAAGCTAAGTATCCTAATGCATCGGATTCAAGCGGCCACATTTGCACTAAAAAAAAAAAAAGAATAATATAATGTCACAATCAACCCTAAGAAACAAATGGATAGAGCCCATTTTAATTTGACTTTCATATGGGAGACTCCAAGTGTGCCAAATAGAAATTTGATGGAAGTGGTTCTGTTGACCACTACTAACTCATGAAACTCTTGTGTGTGGGACCCACTAGATAGAAAGTTTTGTGGGAGTGGGGCCCACACATTGACTCGATCGCCCTTAATGACTCTAATTGGAGAGGTTGGAGAAATTAAAGTAATCATGAGATGGTTATTTCTTTAAAACCATTAATTAAAAACTTATATTTTATAATATTTACCTATAATAATAATAATAATAATAATAATAATAATAATAATAATAATAATAATAAAAGATTGTCCGGAGGCTCGCATACGATCCTCCAACAAATCTCATTTGCCTAACAACTTGATCCTACGTTGCAAGGCACATTCACTCAAGCGTCTTGAACCCGTGACTCCAGGGGACTCATGATTAACGGCGCAATTGTCAACCAAAATACCATGGGCCTTATTTGTCTAACACTCGACCCCATATTACGAGACAGATGCACTCAGAGGAACTCGAACCCATGACATCAAAATACTCACGTCTAACAATGGAGCTATCAACCAATATTTTATGATAGAGGGAGACACCAGAAAAAGCACCCAAAATAAAATCATTGCAACCACCAAAAGTGTGTTTTGTCCTTCATTTCAGCGTCCATGCATGAACCATGATGGCCTGCCACATGACAGAAACCATGGAGTCATCAAATATCAATGCATATCCTATAAATATTTATCACACATAAAAAAAAAAATCTAAAGAAAGTAAAATTAATAAATGATTTTATATTGATTTATTGGGCCTGCAATTCCTATGTTTTCACAAATTTAATTAGTAATGCGTAAAAATAACATGATTATTTATATGAGATCGTGTTAATCATAAAATTTATAGAAATGTTAAAATAATCTTCAAACTCTTTAAATTAAGGCTGAAATAAACTATTACAACTCAATTTCAAAATAGTCGGAGATTATTTTGACACTTCTATAAACTCTGAGACTAAAACGAGTTCATATAAATAGTCAGAGATTATTTTAACACGTTTCACTATATCTAATAATTTTAATATACATGTTATCTTTATACAACTCATATTTTTCGTATCACATTAAAAATATTATCATTTAAATATTTTTAAAAAATACATCTTAAATTTTAAATTTATTTGTTAAATATATAAACACAAAAATTGAGTGGTATGACTGTAAATCTTATATTTTTTTATTGTTGCAAGTAAAGTCATTATTTTTTTTATAGTTTTTTTTTTCTAAAATACGGAAAAATTAAATATTATGATAATGGTAGAGGGTTTAGTTTTTTTATCAAAATTAATTTTGATATAAAATCCACTCCCACATGCCATAATTATGATAATTGCAGAATATTTAATTTTTTTTATGAAAATTAATTTTTAAATAAACTTAACTCTCAGGTCGGAGGGTTCGAGTTCACTCTGACACAGTTGACCTTAAGGAGGTGACACTCGAATGACACATTATGAATAGTCGGAGGCTCGTATAATGCCCTTTAACCATTTCTTATATATATATATATATATATATCCAGAGCCCAATTTTTTGTGGGCTCTTCTTGACGTAGAGTTACTCCCGAATTTCAATTAAAATTTAAGGCATGTCAAATAAATAAAATATTATTTATTATCTAAACAGCGGAGAAACCTAAAACCTGACCTGACTTGCGTAGAATATGATTGTATTAGAGGTTTTTTCTTCAATACAATCATGTTGTACTCTATTACTTTTACATTGAATTGTTTATTAAGATGTTTTTTTTTACTTAGTATAATATGGTTGTACTGAAGAAGAACCTCCAATACAATGATGTTGTACACTTGGGTCAGGTCGGGTCGGGCTTCAGGCTCCGCCTCTTAGATAATAAAAAATATTTTATATATTTAACATATGTCAAATTTTACTTGGCGTTTGACCTCCGGACATAATATTTTTTCCTATTCTTCCACATGTTATATCATTTGCTTTCTATGCCACATCAATATAATAAATAAGCATCGTATCATAGGCAACAAATGCAGCTTCAAACATAATCTTGCACATCTTATCATGACACTCTAATTCCTCATTGACACGAATTTACTCAATAATTACGTCTTCGCAAACAAGACTCTGCATTTACTTCAATACTTTCATCGTGTGTGGAAGTGTTGATGTAGTGTGTGAATGTCTTAGTGTGTTGTGTGAAGGTGGTGGTACAGTTTGCAGATACGGAGGTGGTGGTGTCGGGTAGTGTGTGGTTTGGAGGTGTGGCGTGGATGTGATGGTATAGGGTGGTTGTGTGGTGCGGAGGTGTTGGTGTGTGATGTTGTCTGTTAATGTGTTGGTGTATGGTGTGGAGGTGGTGGTGTGTGGTGTGTGGTGTGTGCCTGAAGGTGGTGTGTGGTGTGTGCTCTGAAGGAGGTGGTGTGGTGTGTGGAGGAGGTCTATAGATGGTGGTGGTGTGTATGGAGGTGGTATGTACGTGCTGGTGATACTATTATGACAATGTTATTTTTCTTTGAGTTATGAAAGTTTATTTTTATGGCAAATATTTAAGTTGATTTGTTTTTTCATGCTAGTTTTACAATGTTGAAGACGAAAAAGGTCGATTCATCTGCTATGTGGGATAAATAGACCAAAATAATTATGAATGTAGCTTAAATCCAGCCAAACACAAAAAAAAAAAAAAATCCAACGATCCTTTAAATATGAAATTCATCACGTTCCGTCTTTCTCCTCCCGCATTCCATCATTCTTACGACATAAATCCACATTTAATGAATCTGATTACGAGCCAAATTTATTCCATCATCGATTATGAACTCTTATATCCCAACATCATTATGCTAAATTCAAATTTATCAGATTTGATAGATTCTATTTAACGTAAAATTAAGTTTCAACCAAACATCATCTTCGCTTGCAGAGGGAGGATTTGACTTCAAAATCGGAGTTACAGAGTTTTATAAATTTGGGTATGGGGGACTAAATAAATCATAATATTTAGATATAATTTTAAAATTTTTTTATTAATAAATAAAAAAAAGTGAAATTTTAAATTTAATTTAGTTCTCTTAATTAGGATATTTATAGACAATTAAAAATTTTACATATGACTCTAAATCATTATGTTTTAAGATACAATAATTTAATTATTTTTTATTTTACTTTTAATATTTTATTTTTAACCCACTTATCAAAATTAAAAAAAAATATATATATATTTTAATATTAAAATTGGTCACTTTGTATTTGTCAATTCAACCCTCACATTTTTTAGAAACTAATTTGAGAAGACCGTTAGGCAAGTGTAACAAGATTTTTTTGTTTTTTTTCTAGAGAAGTTAAGCCAAATAGCAGTAAACTTACTCTCTGTAATCTTTTCATAAAACATATTAATAAATATTTTTGTAAGAAAAATTGTATCACATATTTTTTATCATTTCCTTAAGGTGTAAAAAGAATTTTGCGCGTAGGGGTGTAAATGTGCCGAACACAAGCGAGCGCAGGCCCAGCTCGTGTTCGTCTCGTTTATATTTCGAGCTAAAAAAGTGTGTTCGTACTCGACTTGTTTGCTTAGCAAGCCGAACACGAGCCGTTCACGAACAAAGAGTCATTTTGACAACCCTAATCACGTAGCCATCAGATGTTAAGGATTGGGGGCGAGATTTAAAACAACATTTGTATCTAATTTAATAATTATTATTCTATTTTCTTTATTAATACTTTTAATTGATTATAAATCTTTGTAGCCTTGTAGTCAATTAATTTTTTTTTATAAAATACTACTCATCAAAGATTTATATATAATTGATTAGTAGTATTTCGAGCCAAAGCGAGCCAAACACGTACAAACAAATATTTGTTTGTGTTGTTCGTGTTCGACACACGAGCTGTTTGCGAACAACAAACCGTTTTGACAGCCCTATTGCGTGCTAATTTTCCTATGACATAAATTATGCTGATTATATATTAATACCTTAGTGCATTGTCATTTCATCATATATTTGATAATAATTATTTAATAATTTGGAACTTATTATCAAATTTCATGCACTGTAAACACAATAGATGCAGAAGTTATCAACTTATAAAACATTTTCTTAGTCAAAGGATGAAATAATTCTAAATCCTGATAAATAAATAATGTGGTCAGAAAATTGAAATAGCAAAGATAAGATAGCTTCTCTTTATGTAATTTATATCCCACTTCAAGTTTAAATATTGTTTAATTTCTTTGTCACATTTAATTGTGCTTTCACTCTTCCATTTGTACACGTAAAAGAATATTTTGAAGTCGCAAAGTTGCATGAGAAAAGACAGAAAGTTTATTGGCTATTTATTGCAAAATTTTTAAAAAATTAATATTAAACTCCGATAAAGATGAAACTAGATCTCAATCAAAAATGAGGTGAACATATTATATATATATATATATATATATATATATATATATATTCAGGAAGATCATGTTCTTCTATCATATA